CCCACCCCAACCACATAACCACCCCCATAGGATGGCAGACCCATCTTGGTGCACAGTTCACCCCAGAATGACCCTAGGTGATACCAAACCCTATCAGTGGCTCTGGGGGATCCCCGGGATGTGTGCCTCCTCTCCAGTGCTGGGAAATCCCCCCCCACCCCCTGCCATGGATCCACCACTCCCAGTTTAGAGCTCCCAGCTTTGGGCTCACACAGTGGTGCTGGATCTCATCAGTGGCTCTGAGGGACCTGTGCCCCCCCCTCCAGCTGTGTTCTGTCCCCAGGTGTGCGGCGTGGCCCTGGTGGCCATTGGCATCTATGCTCACCTGGCCCTCAACCAGGCTCTGGTGGCAGGCAGCAACTCAGCAGCCAGCAGCCCCGTGGCCATCATGGTGGTGGGCATCATCATCTTCTTCGTTTCCTTCTTTGGCTGCTGCGGGGCCTGGAAGGAGAGCTACTGCATGGTCACCACGGTGAGTGTTGGGGGGGAGTTGGGGATGGGAGGGGTTTGGGGGTGCTGGGAGGTGGTTCTGACCCCCCCCCTTCACCATGCATTCATCTCTGCAGTTTGCTGTTCTGCTCAGCATCATCTTCCTGGTGGAGATCGCCGCTGCCATCGCTGGTTACGTCTTCAAGGATAAGGTGGGGAGGGAGCACGTGGTGTGTGGGTGCTGTGCCCTCTCCGTGGCTGCGTTCTGACCCCTCCCTTTGGTGTGTCTGACCCCCCACATCCCCCCCCAGGTCCGTTCAGTGCTGGAGGAGGGGCTGTGGGACACCATGCGCAAATACGGCGAGGATGTGCCACTGACAGAGGCAGTGGACAAACTGCAGGAGGATGTAAGCAGCACTGGGCTGAGGACTGAAGCTTCCTCCCCCCCCCCCCCCCCCCCCCCCCTCTCCCCCTCCCCATGGCTTAATTGACACGTTCTCGTCGCAGTTCCACTGCTGTGGTTCCAACAACTACACGGACTGGGCCACCCTCGAGAGGTTCCGGGTTAATAACACTGTGCCACGCTCCTGCTGCCGTGTCAACACCACCAACTGCAATGTGAACCCCACCACCAGCACCATCTATGTAGAGGTGAGACCCCCAACCCCATTCTGAGGACCCCCATGCTCAGCCTCCAACGCTGTGTGGTGCTGAACACCCCCCCCCCCCTTCCCTTTCTCCTTTTCCCCTCCATCCAGGGCTGCCAAAAGGGCATTGAAGCGTGGATGAAGAAGAACATCCTCATCGTGGCTGCTGTTGCATTGGGTATTGCCTTCTTTGAGGTATGGAGCAGAGCTGAACCCCTCCATCTGCATAAAGGGGGACTGGGGAGGGAGTTGGGCGGGGGGGGTGTGATTCCCACACACTCTTCTTCTCCAGATCCTGGGCATCGTCTTCACCTGCTGCCTGATGAAGGGCATCCGCAGTGGCTACGAGGTCATGTAGCCCCCTCCCCCGGGGGCACTGTGCCAAGCCCACCCACACCCTGCCCTCGCTGCTCCCACCCAGGGGTCTCCAGGTGGGAAGGGGAGGCG